GGTGGGTAGAATCAGCCCACATGGGCTTAAGCCAAGGATGTGTGGAATCAACCGGGCCAGGCTGGGGCCGACTGGGGCTACCCGGCCCGGGCTGACCCGGTACAGATGGGAATGGCCCTCAAGTTTGCTGTCGATATGTGAAACGTTTAACTTGGGTCCATCCGTTGTAGACTTCGTCGAAACTCACTCTGGTTTTAGATCTTTTAGTCGCTCCTCTTCTGAGATTAATGACGTCTTCTGGGCTCAGAAGCAGCTGCTTGACTTGCCAAGTCCACCATTTTCCACAGGACTAGCCTCGCTGTGCCGAGCGGACAGTTTGCCAACCCGCAACTGTGCCCTCTGCTGGCTGGTAGATGTAGACATGAACCCAGTGTTGTGTCCGTCAAAATAAATACTCGATTGTTTTTTTTAATTAAAGTAAAGCTTTTAAAGCAAATGCCAAACCTTCATCCTGCACACCACTACACGCCCCGTGGAGGGATAATTTAAAGAAACATAGCTTTTTATTAAGTTGTTCCATATTCAAGCTTTAATATCAAAAACGTGTTTCCTGATTCAGCTTCCTACAGACAGGGGCGTGTCCAGGGGTAGCACATGCCACCCTTGGAATCTGATTGGCCACCCCACTGAATTTCCTTGAAAGGGACTTATCCACAAAAAGCTTGGGGTAAAAAGAAAAAGCATAACCATTGGTGCCACCCATGTACAAAGAAGTGCACTACCTGGGCCACCCCATTTTAAAAGATGTGGCAACGCCACTGCCTACAGAGTAACTAATATACTGTGTTCCTAATGCAAATACTAAATTAATATCAACTCAGTTATGTGGAAACATTGAAATAATCATGCATGAAATCAGTTAAACAAACAGCATTTAGAGGCAGCACCAAACCTCTTTGTCATGCAGAGTTTTGTTTTTTTCTGCAATAGCAAGAAAAAATTTTCATTTCTGCAGAACTTCAAAAAGCACGCATCTTTTCTGCAAATGCTCTTTTTCTAACAAATATAAAAGAATGAGTAGTTGATGTGTAGCTTTAGGGCATTTAACATAGAAATCATCTTCTGTCATCACTAAACCAACAAGTGAGCATCGTCTGAAGGCTCAGCTTCCAGCACACAAGTACAATCAGTGAAGGATGTACACGAGGGGTCGTACTTAAATGATATATCTGCAGGGTTAAACGTGACTAAAGGTTAGTTTCACTAAAATATTAAGTGGAAAACACTTAGTTAGTGTGTAAAGGGAGCATACTATGCTGGGGTACCATCGCTTGTCCGAAGTGAACTCACCAGGAAGAGATTATTGCCTCATGCTTAACTCCGAGTGTAAATCAGACAGGGAGCATCTGAACAAGCTGTTCAGGTGTGTAGCCTCCTGCAAAGTCAGAGCCAGAGAAGCACGGCTCCTGGCAAGGCGTAAACCCGCCCTCTTCAAAGTGCAGCTGCCTTCCAGTCTATTATTATTTTCTTACAAGAGCCGCCTCGGCTAACGCTAATTCTAATGTGTCAGCCTGAAGAAAAACCCATCAAGTACCCAACAGACACGGCAGAGGACCAGCTTTCTGATGCAAACGTCCTCACTAAACGCAGCAAAACTCTGTTGAGTTTGGTATCTAAACGGCTAATAAGCTCCGTTTTATTAAAACTACACTTCTTAGCTTCTGCCAGCGACGAGCCGCCGTTTCCAGCTGCAGGTCTGAACTTTGGAAATCCTGAGATCATAATCTGTTTAGATTCTAGTGAAATCCCGTCTAATTCAAGTCTAAGAGGATGTCTTTCATTTATATCTGCAGATAAAAACACTTCAGACGGCAGGCTAGAGTTACTGTACGTCCAGTTGAGGCTAAAAACAAGCCAACACTTTTGAACTGGGGTTAAAAGAGCCAATCTAATACAATTACAATGACAATGAAATAGGTTTGAGATGTTTGAAGCTAAAACTTCAGCTAAAATTTTACAAATCAAACCTAACTGGTGTTTAAAACCAGTTCTGGGCGTTCTCAGACATCTATGTTGAAACAGTACGGGAGGCATACTCTGTCTTTTGCAGCATCTGTGCACATGAACATACATGATACGCTGCTGCTTTTGTGCTGCAAGCTTATTTAAAACAGTGAACTTTGGATTTTTACATCAAACATGTCTCTGTTTCCACCAGTCAGCAGAAAAAAGATCTAAATGAACTGCATGTTTTTTGGGTGATGCTAAGACCCTGCTGTAATTCAGTCCCCTGCATTGTTCCCAGATTTGAGCCGATCGGGGAAGGTTTAAAGTGCTGCACTGCAGAGACGGGGCTGTTCTGGGCCCTTCGACGCGGGTTCTGATTGGGACCTTTGTTTGAAAGTCGTTACAAAGCTCAAATCTGGGCTCTGAGGTAGAGTTGCCTGGCAGGAGGCCTGTTCAACCCCTGAGCTCTGCATAGACTTCTAACGCTCAGATACCTTTGATGAAGGCAGGCAAGCTGTCAGGCGGCCAGCCGGCTCTGGCCACCTCCTCATATCCACAAAGCTAATGGAATTGACTCAAAAGTCAGAGCGAAGCTCGCTGTAACAAGCAGCTGCACTGAAGACAAGCAGGAAATACGTTTATAATTAATTCAGACGCATGGCGCGGAGGCTTTGAATGGCGAAGGCAAAAATTAGAGCTTACACCAAATGTCAGAGTGTCAAAATAACGAAGCTCAAACGCTCCAAACAGCTTCGTTTGTTTGTGTTTTATCTGAACTCATAAACAGATTTTTAAAAGGGGAGCGTGTGGATGGGGCTTGTTTGGTAAAGATGGGTTCAGTGGTCAGAAAAACTTTATAAAAAATATTTCATTTCCAATTTATTGTAGAAACCCATTTGCTTGTTTCCCATCCTTGAAGGTGGGTTAGCCAGGAGCTGCAGGGGGGTTCAAATGTTGTAAATGAGCTGAATAATAATAAAAAAAAGAATAACTTAAAGAAGACTTTAACTGTGTTAACTTTAATTTGCTCCCTAGAATAAATTGATGCCTCTATTGCATCTGGCCTCCAGCTCATTCTGTGGTGAGGTGTGTAATAACATGTCTTCAAACGGCTCTATTTCCAAGCATCAACACGACTAAAAGCACATTTCTGACCCGGCTTGGACATCTGGGCTTCCGTAGAAGGGCTGTTTGAGTCACTTATCAAATGAATAAGAAATTAAAGAGTTCATGTCTGCACATGTTTTAAAGGTCTCGTTCAATGAGAGATCGTGCAATACATGTGCTTTCTGACATTCAGTTGGCCGCTACGGGTTGCACATTCATGCGTGGACATGTTCTTTGTCTCCATTTCTTCGTTAGCCACAGGAAGGAAGTAGAGCGGAAAACGATCAGGTCAGAAAAAGCCGATCTCTTCTATGTCATAGGGAAATTTTGTATCTAGGCCCTGCCCACCTTGGCTTGTGACCACTCCCAAGAGGGAGTGGGCAGAACGCATCTGGACTGGTGCAAGCTAATGATTAGCAACTCTGCAACAGGGCGGGAAATGTTTGAAGTTGTGTTTTTTACCCAGGATAATTTGTTTTACAGAATTCTGTATCTTTTAACGAATGCTGCAGAAGAGCTGCGTTGCTATTAGCCAATCAGAGGTGGAACATTTGCATATCATGAATAAGAATGAGTGCAAAAAAGACTGAATGACCCCTGCCTGTGAACGTCACAGAAATATTTATTTTGAATAAGAATCCACATAAAGTAAGATTAATCACCTTTAAGCCGCTCACTCCTGCCACCTACTGATGTAAACATGTAACTGACGTTGCTTTAAAATAGGATCTCTGGATATTTTAGGCCCTGCATAATAAAAAGCTTTAAGCTTCAACGACAGAGACTTGTGATGATCAAAGTAAACAAGTGTATTGATCCAAAACATTTAACTAGAGGAGTGGGTTGTGTATTGGCAGGACTGTGGTCACACGACACATCACAACACAGGGGAAATGATCTGTAGATACACTGCGATGTTGTGTGTCGGGGTGAGTACTCCTCCTTCTCTACAACATCTTTGTGAGATCTTCATTCCAGGAGAGGGAGCTCACCAGCTGCGGGGCATTACCAATCAGCGGCAGCTGCAGCTCCTCAGATCAACCGCTATTTAAGAGGAGAGGGAACTACTTCACATCGCTGGATGATTAGCTACTCACGGATACTTGGATACGCTGAACTCTCACGGTTCGCCTCTCCTCCTGTTCCTCCTATCCTCTGCCGCCATCGTCTGGCTCCCTCTCCTGGACGCACCCCGTCACACCATCTGCCCTCCCTACTGACTCCTGGACTCTTTCTGGCTTCATTGAACTTGGATATCTCCAGGACACTTTTAGTTAGGTTTAATAAATCATTGTTTGAACTTTCTGCCTTTGTTTTGTGATGATTCTTCATGTCGTGGGTTAAACACCTTCCCAGGGACATGACATGCGATGCTTAAAGCCAGATATATGTGGTGTAATCGGAAGAGTCAGGCTGACACTTCCAAAATACATCCAGCATTATCGCGAGACCTTGTTGTTCTGTCGGAACGGAGGAGGTGAAAGCTGCTGCCTCCTAGCAGTTGGAGTTTGAATTGCACAACAGATAACAGTGCAGTAAATGCATGTTGATTCTCATTTAAAGTCTATACGCTGTTCATAAATGTCTTTTCAGTCAGTTGATATTTGATTACATCCCTACGACTTAAACAAGCAACATTAAGTGAACACGATCAGCCCAGTTATTTCCACACCCAGCAGCAGTTCTTCCTGTTTATGGGTAAACGAGTAACGGTGGACAGAAGTGGCGTAGCTTCATTTTCTCTGTTGTTGTTGTTGTTGTGAGCCTTTAAAAAAACTAAAAGTAGATATGTGTTTTTGGTGAAAACTTTCAAAGCTCTTTGTGCTGGAAAGGTGGCAACCAAACATATGCTCAGATATTAGTGAGATGAAGTTGTTATTAGGAACGATCAGCTGTTGAGACCAAAGACTGTTGTCTTTTGTTGTGTGTGTGCTTCCACTGCCCACCTGCAAGCTCTTTATTCCCCTTCATCCATCTGATGGTGGCAGCGGGCTTACTGCTCATGGCGGAGCAGGTCATCTCCGTCTTGTTGCCCTCGCTGAGCACCTCCTCCCTGGCCTCGATGATGGGGTTACCAGGGGGAACTGTAACAGGACACACAAACACAACTCTGTAAACAACAACGGTAATATTTACATCCGCGGCTCCATGTGCACCAAAGACAACTCATGTGATTAAAGAGCTTTTAAAAGAATTTTAAATTCATTCGCCTGACCTTTAAAATGGGATTAGCTTACCGTTGTCTAAATAACCAGCTGCAAAATACTGCAGGAGATAAGTTGGAGCAACAAATAAAATGGACGCTGATGCTGCTCTTTAAAGAGCTTGTTGGCAGAAACAGCTGATGACAGCTGACCTTCTGAGTCTGTCAAAATGTCAACAAAGTGGAAAAGTGATTTTATCAGCAGATGACACACTCCGGGGACAAACAAAGGCTGGTCTATTAAACAATGTAACACAATCAGTGGTCGGGATCTTGAACTTCAGCTGTTACACACCAACACGCTACGACTGCTGTGACTCGGGGACAAAACAAATGTTTTAGAAATATAAATATTATTGAATGAATTCTGACAATAAAGACTCAGATTCTCTAACCGATTATGAGTTTTGTTGAACGCACCTGCACCCAGTTTATCAAGAATACACTCAAAGATGTTGATAAAGACTCGACCGGCATCTGAAAGTTGGTTCGTGTTGAAACCCGTCAGCGAGTGACTTTGTTCTTCAGCCGTTAAGACCTGCGGCTCACTTTCTCTCTCCCTGTTGCGTTCGTCTTCTGTGTGTGCAGCGTGATCAGACACAGAGAAGTGCCAATTGCTCAAACCTATGATTCACATATAATTATTGCTGTTTGGTTTGAGAATCGGATGCTCAGCAGGACAGGATAGCAGCATGAACAAAGCCACAGCGTGGGACTTGTGCTGCACAACCTTCCGGTGTTTGACGTTTTATTCCAAGTGTAAATTATGTCCTCTTTTCTCATATTTTACATAGAATTAGAGATTAAATATTCATAATTGAAAAGAACATGCTTATTGAAGCACATATCCTGGAGTTGAGAAGCTCCAGAAGGGAATTTTCTAGGTAGGTAAAGGTTCCAGCAGGACCTTTGGCAATAAGAGGAAGCACTTTGTTGACCCTCATTCTGTTCAATACGCCACATTTAGAAATATTTCAAAACAGCTATTACAGATTCCCATGTTTAGGATATAAAGGTCTGTTACTGTGCAAATACAATAATACCAGTTATCTTACCGTTTTTAAATAGCTTCCTGAACGACCATGTTGGATTGTTTGAGGGGAAACGGCACTGGGTCACTTAGCTCCGGTTCCTAGCGGACATTAGAAATGCAACCTGGTCTAAACGGGCAGGACTTGTTTGATCTGGTTCCAGTATCACGCATTTAGGGACAAACACCCAAGGACTCACTAAGTTTTCAGTTAGAATAAAACGTGGCAGCAGTCTCATCTTACACCAACAGTTTCCTGATTTCCATTCAACAGGAAGATGCCAGCCCTTCAGGGCGTGGCGAGGGCTAGCCTGTGTTAGATGATGCGAGCTAAAACTCTGAACGTTTTGGAGGCAACCCACAAAAGTCCAGGCCTGTCTTTGTGTTCTTGTGCTTGTACCATTTACTCTGTTTTTATGTATTATCCAAGTTAAAACTGAATTACTGCCTCGCTGTTTTTAATGAAGCACTGCCGGGTTCAGTGGGATGCCGCAGTTGAAATGCTCTCCCCCGTGAAGAAAAGATCCAGGAAGGCTCGGCCTGCTTCCGACTGAGCTGCGGCCAGCCATGGACCAAAACCCAACAACCATAATGTTTAAAACTGACATGGCCATGGAGCAAGCCAGGCCAGAATGTGTCTTAAAACATCTTTAATCCGTAAAATGTTATGGTGGTTTACGTTAAAATACTTTGTACTGTTATAATTCAGCTTTATGTGGTAATTTATATCCACTATTTTGTTTATTTAGAACAGTAAATATCACCAGCAGTAGCAATTGTAGCACTTTTGGTGCATCCGGCTGCAACGTGCAACACAGACGCTGCACAATGTCGGTGACTGGAGTCGTTTGAAGATGGCGGTAGTACACAAACCCGAAGGCTAATGGTGGAGGGTTGCTGCTTAAATGCCATCGCTCTGCCCACTAAGACACTTAATTAACATGAATTCATCGTAATGCACCTTTAAGACTAAAAAAGGTTTTAAAATAGTTCTTGACCATTTTCTAAAAGTCCTTGGTTGGTGATTATTCTATGCTGCAGGTTTTCAGTAAAGCAGCTAACATGTTAGAATTTGTCTCGAGCGTTGCTTCATCATCTCGCAGAGCTTTCCCGACCAGCCGCTAAACACCTCTCGAAGCAGAGGGACACATTTTATGAATGCATCGGTTAATCTCCTGGAGCATTTAAAGTGAACGACGGATAGAAAGTGTCTCCCTCCTGTCTGGTGACGCGTGTGTCGGTTTATATAATGTAGCGGCCTTCAAAGACACCTGCCTCTCTCTCGAACACCTCCTGCTGTGAAAGAACATCTCTGGCAGAGAATCTGAGGCAGCCGTGTGAGCAGCAACTGTGCAAAAGAGACGAGGCTGAATCGCTCACAAATTCTCCAGAATTTCACGAGTTCATGAGTGAAAACAGCCCATGTGAGTTAGCACAGACCGACGTGTTTAGCGAGAGCGTTCCGTGGGAAACGTAAGCCTGTCTGTCGGCTAGGACTGGAGGTGAGACTGAAAAGCTTGGAGGTAGTTCTCCAGTGACCACAGCCCGATGCTTCACCACTACAGACGAAAGCCTTTAGAGTGTTGTTGGGCTGGAAAACATCACATTCCTTCAACCATAGTTCCTGCAAATGTGACCAAATAGCCGAAGGTTATGTCATCTGACCTTAAAAACATTTCTCCAGACGACATTTGGCTTGTCCATGTGGACAACGGCAGGACTCAATGGGGCAACAATATTTCAGTCCATGCTGATGTAAAACTGGTTTCAGTCAGTCTGCCATTCCAGAAGAATCCATGCTATGCTAGCTTGGAGTCTTGGTCTTAAACCAGTAGTCTTCACTCCTGGACCACGACGACCATCGTCCTGGATATTTTGGAGGTTTCTCAGCTTCAACACAGTCGATTTCAACCAATTGCTGATTAACATATTCCTGCAGAGCTTGATGAGCTGCTGGTCAGGTGTTTAAACCGTTTAATTAGGTGTGTTGAAACAGGGAAACAACTAAAACATGCTGGATAGTGGCTCTGGAGGACCACAATTGGACACCATTGTCCTAACCAGTTGGATAATGGCCCTGGAGCACCAGGACTGGACATCAAAGGACACATTTCATTTACTTGTACTTGTGTGGTTTTGTTTTATGATCATTAAATCCAAAATTAAGAAATGGTTCCAACTGATTCCCCCAACTTAATCTACAGCAAATCTACAGTTCACTATTGTGGATCTTTACGGAGCTCATTGGTGCGTCCCACTTTTCTGAGCGTTGGTTAATCATAACTGAGACATTAACAAGCCTTGGTCTTGTTGGGTTCAAAGGGACCTTCAGTGTGAAGTCATAAACTTTAAGTCGATATATGAATATATTTGAGTGGGAATGACCACATTTGACCAAAGCTGTTTTTAAAAAAAGAACTGAAGTAATATGTTTAAAAAGATCTGGAGAAACTCATTCATGTGTTCATCTCCAGCAGGTTGGACTATTGCAGTGGTCTTTTGACTGGTCTTCCCAAAAAGCTGTGAAGCAACTGCAGCGTATTCGGAACGCTGCTGCTGGAGTCTTAACAAGAACCAAGAGAACTGAGCACATCACTCCTGTTCTTAGATCTCTACACTGGTTCCCAGTAAAGTGCTTCTACTGGTTCATTAATCACTCAGTGGCATGGGGCCAGAATACATGTTGGCTCTCCTTCCTGTACATACGCCCAGCAGGGCTCTGAGATCCTTAGGTATCAGTCAGCTGGTAGAACCGGGTCAGAACCAAACAGGGTGAAGCTGCTTTTAGCTACTATGCTGCTCACAGATGGACTCAGCTTCCTCATGACCTCAAAAGTGTACCAACTCTGGTAACTTTTAGATCAAAACTGAAAACTTTAATGTATTAATCAGCCTTTGAATGAATGCTTTATAAGCTACACCTTCTGAACTGGAACTGCTCAGTCTAACTTGGCCTTTTAACTTATTCTTACATCTAACTTTATTTGTGTATTTTTAAATTTGATTTTATAATCTGCTGTTTGATTTGGTCACGTTGATTTAAATGTTTTGGTTCTTGCTCATGTTTGCACCAGGAGAGTATTGAATTCCTTCTGGGTCAGTAGGGATGGGTACCGAATTCGGTACTTTTTAAGGTACCGACCGAATTCCACAGTACCGACCGAGCACAGATTCACTTCATTTGAAACGGTGCCTCGTTTCGGTACCCCTCCTTCACAACGAGAACTTGTCTAGACAGCTGCGCATGCGCAACAGCGTTATGTCGTCGGTCGCTGCGAGCCAGTTGTAAACAGAGCAGCATGGTAGAAAGAATGCACGCTAAAGCTTGGGTCCACTTCACTAAATGTGATGGGTAACTGGGTGATGATGAAACCAGCGACAACGATCTAAGTGAGACATCCTCATCTTAATCTGCTCCGGTAGGTAAATAAAATGTTTAAGATAACGTTAGCTTGATTTGTTAGCTTCCGTTTCACTAATGGTGCGTTCGCTTTCTCCTCGGAACTCCGAAATTCCGACTAGAAGAACATGAATGCGCTCTAAAGTTTGGCTTCCCTTTACTAAATGTGACGGGCGATTGGGTGAAGATGAAACCAGTGACAACGATCTAAGTGTGAGGCATCATCGTTTTAATCTGCTCCAGCAGCTAAATAAACTGTTTAAGATAACGTTAGCTTGATATGTTAGCTTCCTATGCCACCATTATCATCTAATGGTGCGTTCACTTTCTCCTCGGAAATTCTAACTTCCCAGTAGGAAAAATCAAATGAAAAAAGATGGTAAAAGGAATGAAGATACACAGTAAATTGAGTTCACAGTAAAGATGTTTGCTTCAGTTTAATTATCAGCTTATAAAACTACAAGGACCATGTTAAAATACAAACAGTTGAATGTTATTTATCGTGATATTTATCAAATATGGTTATAAATTGAGAAAAATATATACCTAATTATAAAAGAGAATTAAAATAATAAACACTCAAAAGTATCGAAAATTGGTACCGTTAAGTACCGGTATCGATTCGTAGGTACCGGGAATTAGTACCGGATCGATTCAAATGTCAAAGGTACCCATCCCTATGGGTCAGAAAGGTGCTGTTCAAATAAAAGCGCCTTGCCTATTCAGAACAGGCTGCTAAAAACGGCTGAAAATCATTAAAAGCCTCACATTTACATGATGTTCTTTCTTATGATGGCTTTATGCAAACCTCTGATTATAGTCACAGATATAAATAACATTCAGGCATTTTTGTCCCAGTATCTTCTTATCCCAGTATGCGGTCACAGTTGCTGTAATATTTGATTAGGATTTATTTTAGTATCCCAAAAATAAAGTCTAAACTTCCCCAAACAAAAAAAGTTTTTATTTGCCCGCTGAATAGTTTGTCTACAAATCAAAAGTTCCCCTGAAAGATTTAAAAGACACATTTTCAGTTTTATTTCTATAACTGCTGTTAAAAAAATGTCAAAATGTGATTAAGAAGCTTTGTCTGCCTCCCACCAAAAACACCAAGTGCTCGTGTGTGTTTGTGTTTGTATGTGAGTGTGTGTGTGCGTGCGCTCTGATGTTGTACTTAGCACTGTGATGTCGGCGTAGGCCTCCTGCGGGGGGTCTGTGTAGAGCTGGCAGACATATCGACCCTCGTCCGACAGCGAGACATTAGACAGCGACACCCGCAGCTCGTTCTCCGAGAAGTTCACCAGCTGAAATCGAGCGTCTTTCAGAGCTGAAAAACAAACACAGAAACTAAATACGGGTGCAGCATATTTACGCATTTTCACAGGCCTCCTAACAGCAGAGCATCAAATGAGAGTTCAATGCTAACACCAACCAGGAAGTGGAGGAACGGGCGTCCGTTTTCATGGAGGCGAAAAGTTTAAATGATGCAGCAGTTCCATATAATCATGAACAAAAACAGATAACGTCAGTTGCCTTTCATTTCTAATATTGATACAAACACATGAATTCACCCGGTGCTAAATAAAAATAAAAACTGCTTTATGTGCAACTGGTGATTAAAACAAAACAAACAAACAAGATATTAATAAAACGTAGGCCCGAAAGCTCAACCATACGCAGAAATAAGTCTGTTGTTTACATATAAAAGTATATTTCTTTACTGTAATGTTAATATCAACTAATTTGACTGCATTTCTTTTCACATTAATCATTTCCCTCTCAAAGTTGGTTGCAGCCTAATGCTATAAAACAATGAAGGAAAAAAGAGACGATATCCTGTGAAAAATAAGCAGCTAGACACGATTTGGTACTTTTTACATCTTTTGTACGTTCTGCTGTGTTTGTCTTCAAATTCCATTTTTGGTTCTTTTTTAAACACAGATATCCGTGTTTAAAAAAGAACCAAAAATGCAATTTGGTACTTTTACCCTATAGTCAAAGAGAAAACTGGAAAAATCGCCTGTATTGATAACTACAGGCCTATTGCTATGGCATGTGTGTTGTCCAAGGTGTTTGAGCATATTTTGCTGGAAAGACTGCAGAATTTTATAACTACGACAGAGAATTAGTTTGGTTTTAAAGGTAAACTTAGTACTGACTTGTGTATTTATGCTTTAAAAGAAACTGTAAGCAAATACACGAGGCATAATACTTCTGTTTTTATGTGTTTTTTAGACGCCTCTAAGGCCTTTGACAGAGTCAATCATCAGAAATTATTCATCAAGCTACAAAACAGAGGGGTCCCTTCTTATCTAGTTAGGATTCTGCACTTCTGGTACTCTCATCAACTGATGCAGGTAAAGTGGGGGACAGAAGTGTCCGAACCTTTCTCTGTGTCGAATGGAGTCAGACAAGGCGGGATTCTGTCTCCTGTCCTTTTTAACCTGTACCTTGATGAGCTGTCTGTTACTCTGAATGATAACGGTAAGACTGGATGCTTGGTGGGTGACCGACTTGTAAATCATTTAATATATGCAGATGACCTAGTCCTCATGTCTCCCTATAGCGCAGGCCTGCAGCAGCTGCTCAGGGCATGTGCTAAGTATGGTGAGCAATCTGACATCCTGTTTAACCCTAAAAAGAGTGTGGTTATGATTGCTGCTACTAAAGGGGACCTGAAGCTTAATTTTCCATCTTTTAACTTAACAAATCAGGTCCTGGAAGTGGTAAGCAAAGTGAAATACTTGGGGCACATTTTAAGAAGTGACCTCTGTGATGACGAGGACATTAAGAGGCAATGTGGTAAGCTGAACATGCAGGCTAACACTCTGGCACGTAACTTTGGCATGTGCTCAGATCCTGTTAAAGTGTCCCTCTTTTGTTCCTTTTGTACTCCTCTCTATACCGCCCACTTGTGGTGCAACTATAGTAAGGTAGTAATGAAGAAGCTTCACGTGGCTTATCAGGATGCTTTTAGAATCCTCATGAAGCTCCCTAGATGGACTTCGGCAAGTCACATGTTTGTTGTGAGTAACATTCCTACTTTTCATGCGCTTCTGAGGCTCTTCATGTACAAATTCATCTGCCGACTGAGTTTGTCAGCTAACGCGGTTGTTAGAGCTCTGTCATCTTTATCTTACAGCGACACGAGGTACTCCTCAGTCCTTTTTAAACATTGGAACAACTGCCTATATGGTTTGTAATTAGAATGTGTTTTTATTTTTATTTTATTCTTGTTATGGATATATCCCTTGTCTGAAATAAAGTTTGAATTGAATTGAATTTGCTTGTAAAGAAACAAACAACCATAAAAAGTTTGTTTTTCGTCTGTTTTTTCACCAGAAACTAAGAATTATCTAGACTTTCTGTAGATGTATTTGTGCTTATTTTTTTGCTTTTGTAAAGAAAAAAGAAATGCTCAATCCATTTTTTGTTTTATATAATTTAATGGAAAAAATACCCAATAAAACTAACAGTAAGTGTACAACCAAACACAGAGGGAGACAGTTTGTAGCGATGGTTGTGGAACATTCCCGGTGACGGAGAAGTTTGCAGATGATTGTGCTGTTAGTTTGATCAACAGGACGGAGTTGGAGGAAACGGCTGATCGGTGTACGACAAACAATGCAACCTTTCTAGTTATGAACTATCCACCCTTCGTCCTTCAGGCAGGAGAAAGAGCAGCCGTTACGTCCAGGCAACAAGCGTTGTGGTTCCATGATATGAGCTCCAAGAAGTGTTGGGGGTAGGGATGTGTGTGTGTGTGTGTGTGTGTGTGTGTGTGTGTGTGTGTGTGCGTGTGTGCGTGTGTGTGTAGAATAGAATAGAATGCCTTTATTGTCACTATACAGGTGTAAAGTGAGATACAGAGCATCTCCTACTCAGTGTAAAACAAACATACTTGGGGGGGGGGGGGGGGGGGGGCAGTTCTGCAGCGCTATGTACATATGGACAGTAATGTTATGTATATACAATTATTGCACATGGAATTTGGTATCAATACACAGTGGTGGTCAATGGAGGAAGTGGGAAGTGGGGGGTCTGTGTTATGGGTGCATGTGTGAGTTCAGGGTGGTTATTGCTTTGGGGAAGAAACTGTTTTTGAGTCTGTGGGTTTTTGCATTAATGCACCTGTAGCACTTCCCTGAGGGAAGCAGTCTGAACATGTTGAAGCCAGGGTGGGAGCTGTCCTTGATGATGTTTGCTGCCCTGCTGAGGCAGCGGGAGGAATAAATGTCCATCATGGAGGGGAGAGGACAGCCGATGATCTTCTGTGCTGTCTTTACCACACTCTGAAGCCTCACTCTATCCGCCTTGGTGCAGCTGCCGTACCACACCGTGATGCAGTAGGTTAGCAGGCTCTCAATGGACGAGCGGTAGAAGGTCAGCAGCAGGTCGGAGTTCAGTTTGTACTTCCTGAGGAAGTGCAGCCGCTGTTGGGCCTTCTTGATGACCGCTGAGATGTTTTACACCCAGGAGATGTCAGCAGAGATGAGGACACCAAGGAACAGAAAGGTGTGGACCCTCTCCACACACTCCCCGTTGATGTAGAGGGGGGCCAACTCGGTGCTGTGTCTCCTGAAGTCGACAATGAGCTCTTTGGTTTTCTTGGTGTTCAGGGACAGGATGTTTTCTGAACACCATGCTGCCAACTTCAGGACTTCCTCTCTGTACTCTGCCTCGTCTCCCTTCGAAATGAGTCCGACCACCGTGGTGTCATCAGCAAACTTGATGATGAGAGTGTTATTGTGGGTCGGACTGCAGTCGTGGGTGTACAGAGAATACAGGAGGGGGCTCAGCACACAGCCCTGTGGGGAGCCGGTGCTCAGCGTGCGAGTGGAGGAGAGATGAGGGCAGAGTCTCACAGTCTGGGGCCGGTTTGTGAGGAAATCCTTTATCCAGGCACACGTGAGAGGAGGGAGGCCAAGAGTGACCAGTTTGTTGATGAGGATGTCCGGGATGATTGTATTAAAGGCTGAGCTGTAGTCCACAAAGAGCATTCGGACGTAGCTCTGCCGCTGCTCTCCAGCGGTGTGTGTGTGTGTGTGTGTGTAAAATGGCTCAGTCTATCAGCCCTTTCAGAACTTGGCTAAGACGTCAGCACATCACGACCATTTCCACAGTGAGTGATGACATTGATCAGTGCCAAAAGGCGTCCACGGACATCAACATTTCTGTCATTCTGTGAACGTACGCTGGCGGTGTTACGTAAAAAGCGGTGTGCAATGACCACCAGTGGGAAACAGTTTTTTATGGTGCTCATATGAGAACACAGAGCACCGTGAATCGGCTTCGTGGGAGGATTTTCTGCCACCCTTTTCATGTCGGGAGCTTAGAAACTGGAATTTGACATCAGCATGAACACTGCTCATTTTATTTTCCTTCCATTCTGCTTGTTTGGTGATCGTTTCCTGCTGAGTTACAACCAGCCAGAGCGAGTTACACTCAAGTCCTGCCCAGTCACTCTACTGGACCATTTCTGAGTGCAGGAACTCGGTCAGCGCCTGAAACGGCCCTGATAGTGGTTCTTCTGGCTGGCTCCGTGAAATGGAGACACACATAACATGAATGTCCGGTAAAATGACCCAGAAGCCCCAATAGTGGAAACGGGCCTATTGCTGAAGACCAGCTCCATCCCAGCGACTGGTTGGCTCATGAACTCTGACCTATAAGCTGTTCTTTGCTCTGTTTCATTCCTTTAGACCGGGGCAGATGTGTTGCCGGTTCTTACAGCACTGATTGCATTAACAGACATCTCTTCCACAGCTGTCCTTTAGCTGCGAGAATCCAGGACAAACTCACTAATTCTGCCTGCGTCTCATGTGAAGTCACTCTCATCTCACCTAACCTTGCATGCCCACCTACCAGAGCAGACTCCATCAGCTGTAATGCAGGGTGACAACATGTGGTTGGGATGAAAGTCCACCTGCTCCGTCTGCCTTCAACACACTGATAAACTCTGCTTTGATCGACAGCAGCTCTCTGAACCCTCTTAGATCTGAACACTCGTCCTCGGACCTTTTTCCCTCTTGTTGAAAAGTGAATCATTAAACATGGAAACCTCAGACACAGACTAAGTGGTTTCAGTATAATAAATAAAAAACAGAAGATGAAGCTCACTAGGTTCAGCTTTGAGGTTACATCAAACTTTCGGCATTGACATAATCGTCACTTTTCTTCCTTTGCTTGTTTAAAAAAGTCAATATTTCTTTTCTAATGAGCATTTTTAATAAAGAATATGAGATCCGGGTCAAATCCAAGCAATGCTCGTGTTTTTATTAAAGTCAACTAGCCAAAGAGACACAGAATCAAGAGGCTTGGAGGTCG